AAATAAGAATAAAATAAGAATAAAATAAAATAAAATAAAAAGAATAAGAATAAGAATAAGAATAAGAATAAGAATAAGAATAAGAATAAGAATAAGAATAAGAATAAGAATAAAATAAAATAAAATAAAATAAAATAAAATAAAATAAAATAAAATAAAAATAAAAATAAAAATAAAAATAAAAGATTCATTAAATGTTGTAATAAATAACGAAAAAGAACCTGGGGACGCGCATGTTTGCCGGGAGGATGTTGCTGAGGTCCTGCCTGTCGTACAGGATGGAGGACACCAGGATGAGCAGGACGGCGATGACGAAGGCGGTGTTGAGGATGAACTTCTCCGGGAACAGGAAGCTGCAGACCGCGGCGGTCATCAGGATGGAGATGGAGGCCGAGTAGATCTTCACGATGTTGTCCAACGACCTGGTGATTGCTTCAGTCATCAACAACAAAATTAACAACAACAAAATTAACAACAAAGGTAACATTTGCAAAGCAAATGCATAATGTTTACCTTCGCATATGGCCTGCTCTATTAATTTTTCCTCAAACACATTCAGGTCAGACAGGAGTCTAAATCCCTCCTGCTATAAAATTGCAACATGGTGTAACCCAACACTAATTACCATGGTAACAGACAGCCTGGTTCAGGTCATTGACCTTTTTGGTTTGGAGAAGAAGAGGAAACGTAGCAAAACCAGTATGTTTTCCTTCGTTAAACATAATTAACGGCTCTCGATGGCAACTGTGCATGCAGATGTTGACACACTGGCGCACCAAATCCGTAGTTTGTTTTTGCCACACAGTTAGACAGATTAGCGTGAGAGGCTCGGTGGCCGTCACTCCACCGTATAGGTGGGGAAGTCGTGTAACTCCTTTTCCAAGGGCACAGCGTCGGGCCACGGTGAGTATCTTACCGGGGACCCTAGCATCGCGAGATATCAAAGCCGGAAGTTCTGCTGTAGTACCAAGGCAAGCCGCTAGGGGAGCCAAAATCCAATCATTTTAGGTCTCATAAACACCTATCCACCTACCAACTTTCATGACAATACATCAAAAGCTACCTGAGTTATCGTGCTAAACCACATACATACATACATACATACACACAAATAAACGCTATGGAAAACATAACCTTCTTGGCGAAGGTAATTAACAGATTCTTAAATGTGACCTACCTGCAACAGCCAGTCCGCCAGCGCCGCCTAGCAGAATCGCTGCGACTAGCAGGAAGACTATGTCGGACCTCAAAGATTCCGCCCCGCTGATCTTGAAGACGTCGCCCTTAGTAGCGACCGCGGACCAGATACTGGCGATGAGGAAGCCGAAGGCGTACATCTGGACCTGCTGTTCCATGAACGGCCGCTTGTCGTTCTTGAACAAGTACTGTTGAGCAAAGGTAATAAGTGTAGTCTACATAAACACTAGTATTTGAAAATCAACATTTGCTAGCAAATGCAAACTATTCCTTCTGCCTGCTGTTCCATGAACGGTCGCTTGTCGTTCTCGATGAACAAGTACTGTTGAGCAAAGGTACAATATTAATGTAGTCCATATAAACACTAGTGTATGTATTTGAAAATCAACATTTGCTAGCAAATGCAAACTATTCCTTCTGTCTGCTCTTCCATGAGCGGCAGCTTGTGGTTCCTGAACAAGTACTGTGGAGCAAAGGTATAAATAATGTACTCCATATAAACACTTGATAACCAACATTTGCTAGCAAATGTAAATGATTTCTTCCCCTTTTCTTCTACCTGCTGTTCCATGAACGGCCGCTTGTCGTTCTTGAACAAATACTCTGGAGAAAAGCGATACAATGTAGTCTGTATAAACACCTGAAAACCAACATATCATAGCAAACGATGCCCTCCTCTTTTCCACCTGCTGTTCCATGAACGGGTGCTGAGCAAAATGAACAAATACTTCGAAACAAAAGTAACCTTAGAAGTAAACATTTGCCAGCAAATGCAGAAAATATCCCTCGTCAAGAGTTACCCAAAGTGATTTGCTTCCTGAAGTTTTTTTTTCCCAACTGTCACTTACCTCGGTGATGATAGAGGCCGCTGTGGAGATGGCGGCGCTGACTAGACTGAGACCGAGAGCTTGGGGAAGAACGTAGATGTCCTGGGACGCTGGGGACGAGGACGGCCCGGCCAGCTGAGCAAGCGCGATGCCCAGCATGAGCAGCAGAAGCGCCACCCAGCGGACGACCGAGATCTTTCAAAACAGAAAAGAAACATTTTTACACAAGAAAAATGTAGCCTGGTATCCAGTCTATCGTGGCTGGGGCAGGCTGTCTTCGGGGCTCTAATAGTTTTCCCCCGTCCAGCTCAACAGGCCGCCCGGTAGGAGTGTTACGCCTGTAGGAGTTTTGCACGCTAGATGTTGATTCGCACCACCACTATAGTATAACTTTAGTATTCTGGTGAACTTTACCTTTAGTTTAATTATTATTTAATTAGCCATAGATTTAAAGAAAAACTAGAAAGGTAACATTTGCAAATCAATTACATAATGTTTACCTTCGCATATGGTCTTCTCTGTTAATTCTTACTCAAACACATATTCGTATATATGGTGAAAGGAGTCTAAATCCCTCCTACTACAAAAATGCAACATGGTGTACCCTACAGCTATGGTGAAAAACGTCTGGTTCAGGTCATTGACCTTATTTGTTTGGAGAGAAGAAGAAGAAGAAGAGGAAACAGCAAAAACAATGTTTCCCTTCGGTTAACATAAAGATTTTCTTGTTGAACATCAGCTAGAGCGCATCACTCACCTGTCTCCCGAAGATGATCCTACAGGTGAGTGCCGTCATGATCACGCGAGACTGGATCAGTACATTCCAGGTCGGAGGGGTGGTGTAGTTCAGGGCGACCAGGTACAGGTTGTTGTTCGCGCAGTATATGATAGAGGGCACTGCGAACACGATGGACGGCCGAAACGACGACAGACCAGTGGTAAACATGACGGGTATCAAAACCATCAACAATTTGACTAGCTCAATACAACACACGATAGCCGAGGAAGATATGGGATAGACGCCGTTGTTATAATGTCTCGTGGCGTACGTTACGACTTGCTTGGCTACTTCTAAAGTTATGAAGATAGCACAGTAAGATAAACTCGTCATGTTGGATGGCTGTGCCCTGGCAGTCATGAGTGGTGAGTTGTTGGCCCGCAGACCTCGTGTTTCCGAGGGTTTTCCCTTTTTCCTCTCCATGTCGATGGTAGTATTCCTGTTATAGCACAAGACAAGATATAACCGTTTATTACGTTCTAAGTAGACCTATCGCCAACCTGCAATACGCCGACACACACACACACACACACACACACAAAATGTTGCCCCACTACGTAAAATTGTCCCTCTCATTTAGAGTTTAAAATTTCACATTTACGCTTGCTTTAGTGACTGAGATGCTTAACTGGTAGAATGTGATATGTACCGATACTGCATTTGGATGAGAAATGCCTTGAAATAGTAGTAGACTAGTATACTTTTATTGTACATGCCATCGAAGTTTTGAACCGTGTAAGCCATTTGGCAGCTAGCCTATGTAACCCAAGCTCCGGGGGGCTCCCTACATAGTCCGCCACGGGGGCCGGCTGGATGTTGGGCGGCCGGCAAAAGCGATTTAATCAGGCTATTTGGCAGCGTATTGCGTATGAATAATTATTAATTACAGTGAAAGTTAATCTAAAGTCGCTTTTGACCAAAAAGCGTTTACTGAAAAGAGAGAAACATTTTGCACTCAGAACAGTTATATTTAAAACCCGCGATTATTTCTCATGCTAGAATACTAGATTGCGTTATTTTCAACAAGAAAAATAATTAAGGGTTAATGACCCGCCCCGAGGTGAATATGGTGTGATAAAGCCTTGTCAGTTGCTATAACCACCGAATAAAGCCACCAAGTGAGCGCAGCGAACGAGGTGGCTTTATGAGGTGGTTATAGCAACTGACAAGGCTTTATCACACCATATTCACCGAGAAAGGGCGGGCCATTAACGCTATTATCATATAGCTTACACGATAGCCTATCCAAACTGATGCAGTAAGTGACACAATGTACAATTTACCCGTTGCACATGCTGAATAGAACATAGTTCCATCTGGAGTCACCTGAGGTCACTGGGTAGAGTTCACGTTCTATGTCTTCTATCTGTGTCACAGGCAGGGAACAGGTGTTCTTATGGGAGTCACCCCAGGTCATTGGAACACAACTCAAGTTATTTTTAGATTTTTTAGAACTAGAGCCGTGTTCTATTGGGTCACCTGAGGTCATATGCGGGTGATTATTGGGTTTGTTTAATGTTTGGATTGGGATGAATAAATACCCGATTTTGACTCTATTTGTGACATTACGGCGTCATAAGGAATGTGGAATGGAGCCTTCTGATTGGTCAACGTCACCCGGCTATATGATAATACCAAATAAAACAGTACTGTTCCATTCTTGTCATACTTACGTTTCTACCGAAGACGACATTACATAAGGTCTTTGGGTCCAAAGATTGAAATTGTTTTCGGAAGGCACTGATGAGAGTTAATACTGCATCAGCGCATGTTAGCAATGACAGGAATAGTGTACAAAGCACGTATGAAACAATAATCATCAGATCCATGTGTCGTTAATTATTAGATCTGGTCTTTCACATAATGTCATGGTACTGCAAATTCGCTCTGGAGTAAAACAGACATATCTATAGATAGGCCTCACTATCCTAGATTCCTTGCCCGCTCCTCTACAATTAAATGCTGTTTGTTTTCGGATTGGTGATTAACCCACGATTCTCTGTCGATAAACAGGACTGGGCTTCCTCCGTACAATGTGGGTGTATGGTTGTAAAAAAATTCGAATCGCGAACAACATATTTACACTCTGCCTCAAAGAACGCACAAGGATAAGTCTATCTCCATAAGACTCCTTTGCAGGCTGAATAAGAAGTGAAAATCGGACTAAAAAGTAGTAAATGGTTTATTGATAAAACACGGGACAAGTCGGCTTTGCAGTTTACACTGAATTGCGCCGAATTTTACATATTCCACATACTCAGTAAAACTAACACCGTATGCTATTAAAATACATATACAAGTATATACAAGGAACGCTTAATGTTGTCAACGTGGTTTTACATACTATAAATATAACGTAGTGGTTCACCATCAAGGCAATTAAAAAGCGTTGTTGTGAGGAATCATTACAAGTGAGGCTACTCTCAGATCAAAACGGTTCACAACAGTTCAGTTTTACAGTCCATTGAGGAGTCTAGCCAACATTGGCTTCGCAGTATAAAAAGGGAGGTTAGTCGGCCATAGGCCATTACGCCAAATTTTTACTATTTAGTAATCCTGCAAAGATGTCCGGTGGAGACTACGAAAAAAATACCTTTTTCATTAATAAAAACGTCGCTTATTAACTTTGCGGTTTCTAGATGGTGGTTTTGACACTTTTTGCTTCCTTGTCGTTATGTATACAATTAAATATTTGTAGGACAAAATCATGCAGAGTATCTTTAACTTATAAAGACAATATCGTCCCCTAAAATAAAGTGCCGTGCGATGGCATTACATGTGTGGATAAAAAAGAATAACAGTTACTCGCTCTCGCTCTCTCCCTGGAGACTTTTGATACAGATACTTAATCGTACTTGTTTTAAATATTAAGCAGCTACAGGGTCAAGCAACGTTATAACTAGTTATCATCCATGTGTTCGCTTTTTTTTTCCTTCCAGCACTGGTCCTCCTGCTCAGAGCCTACCCGCTAGATGTTTTCCAGATGTTTGCATTCAATCTACCGATAATATCTACCAAATAAGCGGCTTCAATTACTGCACCAAACGGGCTAGCAAAACAACAACGTTACGTAGAACTGATCTACTCACCTGTGTCTTCAGTGTGGGTTAATATAGTCCAGGAGGAGAAGCCCTTATAATTTGGCCAGTACCATAGAATGATACCCTAATGTCCCCCGATCATTTTAAGATACGTCGTTCTATGGTCCAGGTGGGACATCATGGTTCTATGGCTCTTTATGCAAATTTATGCAAATTAAGCAAACCGGCCATAAAATGAGAATAAAGCAACATAATTTGAGTAATACTTGTCCAAGTGACGTCAAACCTGGGGAATATCGCAAGTAGATGGAAAGTGTTTATTTTCTGACTTTTGAAATGGCTAGCCCGTTTCTATGGCAACCATTGCTAAGGAAATGTAATTCCATAGCAACGGAAGGGTTCAGAGGCTTGTACAGTCCGTAAAAGTAAGTTAAAAAACGACTTCAATTAATTCTGCTGTACGGCACATCAAGTTTTTCATAAATAAATTGATTTAACTTACTAGGGCGTAAAAAAAAAAAAGGTCGACAACCTCAGCCAAGCTAGGCAGTAGCCCGATGGTTCGACGAATCACGTTGTTTGCTTGATGTGGTTGGTTGGGAGAATCATTTACATAACAGACCGGGGTGAACGGCCTTCACATTATTGAGGTACCTAACGTATGAACAACTGACCCTTGGTCCACTAAACTTTCATTGACGTACCTAGGGGTAAAGGCGGGATTCCAGATTAATTATTATGGCGCATACATCGTACGATAGGATTACAACAGCAAGTTAAAGGAATAGTAATTCGTAGTAGGATAGTTGCGGATATATCATTTGCCCTGTGAAGTAAAATTATTAGTCACTGTGGTTAGTGGTATCATAGTAGTTTCTCATTAATTGTACAAACGAGGTCCTAATTTGTATATTTAATATCTAATATAAATATTTAATAAAACACGCTAATGATGTTTAATAAAATTTTGGTAGCTGAAAAAACAGAAGTGATCTACGACAGGTTACAACGAATAGATAATTCTCATGGCCATATAGCACCCGACTTGCGACAGGAGGTGGCTTAAGACTGCCTATACCGAAAGACAACCGCAATGGAAAGAACATTCGTTTATAGATGTATAAAATCTCTCAACAACCTTCCACCACTCGCCAGGTCAGCCACACCAACACTGTTCAAGAACATCATAAACGACATGATAACTCACAAGACAGATACATGTACAAACCCTTAAAGCACTGGTGGTAAGGTACTGGTACAAGCGAAAAGCTGTATATATAATCATTGTATGCGACCTCTGACCTCCCAAAAGCGATCTGGTAATGTCGTGCTGCTTTGTTACCTCCGGGGGAGGAGACATCCTTCCGCGGAAGGGTTTTGTGAGAGATTTAGATTTTCATGTTCGCAGCTGTTTCTCGCGTTTGGGTGGACGGATTTTTTTGGGACTCGGTGTATGTTTTGCTATTGGGCTGTAGATGAAGCATGTTCTTTTGTTTTTATCGTATATGTGTTTTCGGGCGTGAAAATGGTGCCTTTTGGTGGCCCCAGCATACCCCTTTGAGCGTGAAAATGGTCGCGACCGTTGACCTTTGGCGTGTTTAAGATATTCTCGGTCTGGTCCACGTATATGACCCCTCGCACAGAGGGGTGTCCGGTCTCGATAAATTCTTTGTTTAAAACCCTAGTCCTGCGGCGCGCAACAATTGTTGTTGTGCACAAAATTCAACACCACCAACTATACATAACAAACAGCATATAAAAATATACAATAAAAAGCCCGGAGGTATGAAATCTCAGATTTTACTTGTAGTTGTTTTTGTTTATTGTTTTGTAGTTTTATGCTAGTTGTAGTCTAATGGATGCAAGTGTTATGTTATGTTATGTTATGTTATGTTATGTTATGTTATGTTATGTTATGTTATGTTATGTTATGTTATGTTATGTTATGTTATGTTATGTTATGTTATGTTATGTTATGCGCCTTAATTTGTATTATATTTTATGAATCCAGGAAGAATAGATTAGATTTGTTATCTAATCTAATGGATATCTAATCAAACATCAATATCTAAAATTTATAAATGTCCGTAATTTCTTCCTAATCAAGGTATAAAACCTCTAGGCGAAGGTAAGATTCACAACTTCGAATGTGCATCAACATAATTGTAGGAGTCAAAACATGCTGTGCAAAACTGCCACCTAGCGACTTTTAGATAAAACGTATTTATGTTTCTGAGACCAAGCGATGATGCCACTGAAAACGAACGGTCCCTACTGTGTAACCTTTGCCCTGACTTGACCCTAACACACATCTAACACAGACACAGCGGCGGTAACATCACACATTCGCCGGAGCTGTCGCTGCAAAAATAATTACCTTCTGCAATTTTACATTCCCTGAGCTTCCTGTCCGGATTCAGAAGGCGGAGGGAAGATGGCTACGGGGAGGACAAAGACACAAGTCGTTATTGTCGGCGCAGGCTTGAGCGGTAAGAAAAATCTGTATGATTTATTGGCCAAACATCACCCGTGCAATCGCAGCCTTATAGTGCTGAATTGATGCCGGGTTTACAATCAGATGATACAAATGGCAATAATACACATAATCATACACATAATAGAGGGTGTGCATGCCCTTTTTCGTTAACCGTTATGGGCTATTTTAATTTACCGTTAATCGTTGCCGGCCTGCTCTAATTCAACGTTAAGCGTTATCAGTATATTCCTCGTGAAGCGTTATGGGTCGTTTTAATTCAACGTAAAACGTTATTTGTAATCCTAAATTCAGCGTTAAGCGTTAATGAATAATTCTTCGTTACGCCTAATTTTGCCTTTCAAAGTGCAGGAAAATGCGTCATTGAAGGTTTAAAAATACAAAATTTCCCGGGGGAGAATGCCCCCGGACCCCCCTTTGGCGCTCGACTCGCGCTTCTGCGCTCGGTCCCTTCGGCTCTAGCCAGAACCAGTTTTCCCTTCAATTTCCGTTTTCCCTTCAAAGTTTGCGGAGAGTTACAGAATTTTTTTTAACGAATCCGTCAACCTTGACAGGCAAATTAACAAAAATCTTGAGTAAAATATGAAAACATCAGAGGGACCGACAAACACTCTCAACACCATGATTTGCCTCTCAAAATGCGGGAAATTCCGTTTTTGAAGGCTTAAAAATCCTAAATTTCCCGGGGGAGCATTCCCCCGGACCCCCCTAGATTACGAGCGCCTTCGGCGCTCCCCCCTCCAAAATCCATCGGTTAAACTGGGCAGACTGAAAAAATGCAAGCTGGCCGACGTCGACTCGGACACCCGGTATTTGTGGACGCACTCGGGGACCAGGGCAGGTGGGAAACACAGGGAACACATACCTTTAATGCATGCTGCATTACATGTAAGGTATACGTAATTTTGTCAGTGATCACCTTTTCTCACAAAGCGAGATACCAAATCCAGTGCAGCTCGAAAAAAAGGCCTGTCAATTTACCGTTAAGCGTTGCCGACCGTCCTGAATTTACCGTTAAGCGTTATCGGCCCTGCTGAATTTACCGTTAACCGTTGCCAGGACCCCCCCATGCAGACCCTCATAATACATATTTGTTCCACATTTTTGTGAAACTGCCGCAAGGGTCTGTGCAGCTGCCATTCGGCGCCACCAGGTGACCTCAATACTGCTTTTCCCAACCGAAGTTAGGTACCCATTCACACCTGGGTGGAGTGAGGAAAGTCGTGTTAAGTGCCTTTCCCAAGGACACAACGTCGGCACCCCCATGAAACTCCTTCCTCTTCGCCCCCGCCGTTCTGCTTCGCCCCCGCCCCGTTCTGCTTCGCCCACGCAAAAAATCTGCTTCGCCCCCGTCGTTCCTCCACGCCCCCGGCGCAATTCTGCTTTGCCCCCGTCCGTCCCCCAATGGCGGCACAGCTCACAGTCGACACGAAAATCGTCTGCAAAATAACAATAAAGGCTGTGCCGCCAAATTTAAAGTAGCCCATGCTCCGACAAACATTCTGGACCACCTTTCTGCCAAGTGGCGTTGCACAAATCCTTCCCATTCAAAAGTTTACCCCTACCTCACGGCCCGTCAGTGGTTCTTACGTTTATAAGTACTGGCGTTTATAAGTACAGCCGTGAGTGAAATTTCCCGCAGTACTTATAAACGTAAGAACCACTGACGGGCCGTGAGGTAGGGGTAAACTTTGAATGGGAAGATTTGTGCAACGCCACTTGGCAGAAAGGTGGTCCAGAATGTTTGTCGGAGCATGGGCTACTTTAAATTTGGCGGCACAGCCTTTATTGTTATTTTGCAGACGATTTTCGTGTCGACTGTGAGCTGTGCCGCCATTGGGGGCTAAGCAGAAGGACGGGGGCAAAGCAGAATTGCGCCGGGGGCGTAGAGGAACGACGGGGGCGAAGCAGATTTGTTGCGGGGGCGAAGCAGAACGGGGCGGGGCGAAGCAGAACGGCGGGGGCGAAGAGGAAGGAGTTTCATGGGGGTGGTCGGGCGCATGTCCAGACATGTCCCGGGTACGACTCGAGATCGAACCCGGGTCTCCCGGTTCACAGTCCAATGATCCACCACTACGCCACCCGACGCCAATGTAAGTGGGTCCGGGAACATGCACCCCGGGCCCGGGAAATTTGTATTTTCTAAACCTTCCATAACGCATTTTTCTACATTTTGAGACGCAAAGTAACGACAGCCACTTGACGATTCACGACTAGTACGCAAGACATACTGCTGAAAAAGGCAACTAATGTAAGAAAAAAGAAAATGCCCCCTGCAGTGACAACGGAACCCCCACGAAGCCCGTTAAAGAACTTAACCTTGGTCTCAACGACAGTAACCTGAGTACCAAAAATTGTAAACATCATTTTACATGTACAAAAGTTATTTTGCTAACAAGCCACAAACACAAAAGGTGCACTAACGTGACGTATAGACCCCCCACGAAGCCCAAACTCGCACTTGACTTCGGCCTTAACAACGGTAATCTGCCTGCCAAAAATCATGGACGTCGAATCATGCCTTCCAGAGTTATATCGCTTATACCGCAGTTATACCGCAGTCACCCACAATACGACGAGACAATTCCATAGTCTTTCTGACGAAGACAACTATACTGTATGCTTCACTCAAAGCTGGGATCAGCCACGCCCATGTCAGACTAGTGTGTTTCCGTCATGCCTGCCCGCCGAAAACACACGAGGAATGCAGTTATAAAAGAACGTTGAACATTTCTCACTACATGTTTCATGATTCCATGAAGTGTCTTAATCAATATAGTGTAAGTCTAGCAGTTTCTTGGATCGTCACGCTTTAGATTACTCGGACGGGCCGCGCCGACATAGCTCCGCGAGTAGCGCGAGGGGCGTTACGCTAGCGGCGCAGGCCAAGTCCGACCGTCGTTCGATAAAAGAATATTACTATGTCACTAAGGCCACACCAATTTAATTTGTTGGTTCTCGGATTTTTTTCAGAAAAAAATATGAAGCGACAGGGCGAAAAAAAATAAAAATAAAAACAGGTCTAGGCATCCTATTATAGCCCCAAATGCTACAATATGAGCCATGAAGTCAACAAAAAAGGCTGGGTTAAGTTTTAAAGTATAAATTTTGAACTTTTAATCAAACCACTGCATTGATAGATGGAAAAACTGTAACAACTAGGAAGAAAAGGAATTTCCTCAACTGTTGGGGGCAAAATATGAGCATTTTTGAGTTGATTCAGAACCAGAATCTTTTTTTTTTTTTGCAAATCAGAAAAAAATGAAGAGTCGAATCCGAGAACCAACAAATTAAATTGGTGTGGCCTAAGGCTAAGAAAAAAGTTAAAATCAGAGTCAGGAGGCATCTAGATCGATAATAATTACAACTTTTTTGACCCAAAATTCAGATTATTTGCAGAGAATGGGAAGGACTTGTCCTGGCTTGTCCTGACATTTATTTCATAACTTAGTATTGTCAATAAATAACGTGGCCGAAGTGTCCCCGGAATGTGGCCGACGTGTCCTCGGCATGTGGCCGAAATGTCCACCACATGTGTCCGGATCCGAAGTGTCCTAAAATGTCCATGGGCCGGATCGTCCATGGGCCGAAATGTCCTGCTTCCGTACTGAATGGCCAGGGGCTGAGTTGTCTTCGAATCGTTTTTTTTTTTTCATAACCAGCTGAACTGGTTAGACTTCTTTCCATGCCACGATAAGTGATAATTTCCGTGGTGGATCGGCACCGATATACCATCAACATCGCCGTCCAGTTTGTGCACGTGCCTCACAGGTGGGAAAATATTGACTGTACTAATTCTAAATCTCTGAGGCCTGAGGTTTGAATCTCTGAGGAAGGTTTGCCGTAGTCGTACATAGAGAAGTTATTGAATGAATGAAGACCTATAATTCACATTTCTGCCACACTTGGCTAAGTACTGGTCACAACAAAACAAGATGAATGGACACGGTTAACAGATACAAAAGTAATTAACTATCGTTATATAAATTCATCTTCTCCTCGCTTTTCAGTCATTGTAGTACGATGGGTGGTTTGTCTAGTCGCTATTTTATTTTATTATTACTCGGAGAGACGTGAGATCACTATGATATCTTTAAGTCTCACCCAAGAGAACGTACCTAACCGAAGCCAGGTAGTACTCTGTTGCACCTGTTTATTGTTTAATGAGAAACAGCTTACCATTAGATATCGAAACAGGTGATATAAGCCAGTACTTCTCATGATAACTAAAGGCAACTCTTTTAGATACAGTTTTCTAACTCTTGCAAGCCAGTTCCAATCATTACATGCACACTACATGCATCATTACATGTATTTGAAAACCTATGCCTGCTATTTGCATGCATATACCAGGGCGAATATTAATGGTGTTTGTACATTTCTGTATATAGTGTGTTTTTCTGTGTACCTGTCCTGTCTTGTTTTTTTAACTTATTGTAAAAATCAATTACACAATTCAGGGATGCATGCAGCATTCCCTGCTTTTGTATGATTTTGTTGATTGAATAAACTGTATTACTGTATTACACAAGTGTACGAGTATTAGACAAATGAAGATTCCAAGACAACTAGGCCCCCGGGACAACTCAGCCCCTGGCCATTCATAATGCGGTAGGTGAACTAATAGATTTATTTGGTATATTGATATATTCAAAAATAGTCCTTCGTTGCAAGCATGGAGTGTGTCACCGTCCGAGTCGCCCTCACAATAACGGTACTTGCGGCGGCTGCGATCCACCTGCTGCTGAAAGGATGGTTCCAATGGAACGCGAACGCGGGACGGCCATGCCAGCGTCCCCGGCCGGCCGGGCTGCACCGTACGGGAGGCCCGTACGCACACGGGGCGGTCGCCACTGACGCCCTAGAGTGTTCTACAATCGGCAGGTACGAGACTTGATTCTATTTATTATAAACAATGGTTAATACTAATACTAATAATAATACTAATAATATTAATAATACTAATAATACTAATAATACTAATAATACTAATAATACTTATAATACTTATAATACTAATAATACTAATAATACTAATAATACTAATAATACTAATAATACTAATAATACTAATAATACTAATGATACTAATAATACTAATAATACTAATAATACTAATAATACTAATAATACTAATAATGATGATGATAATAATAACGCATTAAAATAACACAGTATAAGATGATGTAAAATCTTTTTTTAAACGCTTAAAATTTGAATCGATCAAAAGTCAATATCAATGTAAATATTGCACGTATCACATTCCAGTGACATCCTTGAAAAAGGCGGTTCTGCCGTGGACGCCGCCATCGCGAGTCTCCTGTGCATCGGGCTGACCAACCCGGACAGTTCCGGGATCGGGGGCGGTCTCTTCATGACGATCTACAACAAGGAGAGCGGCACGGCGGAAATTATCAACGCCAGAGCCATGGCGCCTGCCGCGGCCACGGAGAACATGTACCAAAAGAACCACAAGCTCTCCAGACTAGGTAGTGTTTATGAATTAAGGGTTAATGACCCGCCCTTTCTCGGTGAATATGGTGTGATAAAGCCTTGTCAGTTGCTATAACCACCTCTTTCGCTGCGCTCACTCGGTGGCTTCATTCGGTGGTTATAGCAACTGACAAGGCTTTATCACACCATAGTCACAGAGAAATGACGGGCCATTAACGCTATTATCATATAGCCTATCAAAACTTACACAGTAAAGAGTGACACATTCCTGTATAACACATACAAACTTAAACAAGAAGCCATAGGTGACAATCCTCCGTGAAATTTTATATTTTGCAATAAAAATAATCCCAAGCGTCAACGCCAGACCTACTGTGCAGACATTAAGCAACGGTTAATACAATGAGGGCGCGTCACAAGCATAAAACATAAAAAGACCCAAATCCATTACTGCTCCTAGGGCGTGTAAAGATACTGTGCTTCAAGTTCGAAGTTCATTTTAATTACACACACACAATCTTTGCATTCACATAAAGATCGGACTATTATTATCTATCATGGTCGTGTCACTAGTAACAAAGACAGCCCCACCGTCTTACCGTGCCTGTTACTTATTTAGCTCGTTAGAGCACAAGCGTACAATAAAGGTCTTTCATTCTTATTAAGCGCGACTGGCCATGCGGCCAGCACGCGCGAGTGTTACTGCCGCCGGTCAGATACCCGGGCAAAACCATTTCAACGACATTATAGGGATGTTTCAAAAATAACCATTTACTCCAATATCAAAACTGCTAGGGTAAAAATAAAAAGACGTGCATCACCACGGGCATAATGGCACACCACATGCCAAATTACACAGAAATGCTATGTACGGAACAATGCGTTTTGGCTGCGAACATCTATGGTACCACTTATCGACCCTCCGCACGTCTGCATGAAGTTCCACCCCCCCACTGCTATTCCAAACAACGCGTTTTTCTGGACCATTCCAATTCGCCTCGTAATTGTAGGGGTGCATCTGCAATATTACATTGACCGCGAAAGCAGCAACGGCAAAAATACACATTCGTGCATCAACACGGGCATGCCCACAGACGGCGTATAAAATTGCGTGCCGATTACACAAAGAGAACCCAGTGTTTTGACTGCGAACACGAAAAACCAGCCGTTCACAACACTCCGTCCGGAGGTCCTGACCTCCTTCACGGAGTAATTATATAACAAACCGTTATAGTCACTCCTCTATCTTCCCATCCGCTGGCCACTGTTCCTGTGCATCTTTCCCCGATTCCAAGGACCCACATACTGCATCTAAATTGGCCCCAATCAGTTCTTCTATAACAAATTCTGACATGTACTATTGTATGCCCTTTAGTGTGATCTTGAAAGCCCCGTACAATTGTCGTGCAATGACATTTATCTGTATACGCGTCTAGGCGGTCTCTCCGTCGCTGTACCCGGAGAAATCCGGGCGTTCTGGACGGCCCACCAGAGACACGGGAAGCTGCCGTGGAGAGACCTGTTCCAGCCGGCCATTCAGCTGGCAGAGGAGGGCGTCTGTGTTGGAAAATATTTAGCCAAAATAATGAAGAAGAAAACAGTCGATATCAAGAGAGGGAGCGGTTTGTGGTAAATATTGAGATTCTTCTGTTCGTGCATGTGCAAGAGAGAGAGAGTGAGAGAGAGTGTGTGTGTGTGCGTGTGTGTTTGTGTGTGTGTGTTTGTGTGTGCGTGCGTGTGTGTGTGTGTGTGTGTGTGCGTGCGTGTATGTCTGTGTGTGTCTGTGTGCGTGCGTGTGTGTGTGTGCGCGCGTCTGTGTGTGTGCGTGTGTGTGTGTGTCTGTATGTGTGTGTGTGTGTGCATGTGTGTGTGTGTGTGTGATGATGATGATGATGATGATGAATGGTTTATTGAAAATCAAATCCATTGCAGCTCGCAGGCTGAATTGCGGTGTGTGTGTGTGTGTGAGTACGTGTTTCTGTGTGTGCGTTTGTGTGTCAGTTTGTGTGTGTGTGTGCATCTCTCTCTGTTTCCTACCTATAGTACATGTGAAGGATGGAGCCCTGCCATCTTCGATTGTCACGTTTCCTTTCACAGCGACGTATTCTGTGACGGGAACAACAACGTTCTCGGGGAAAACCACATCATGAAGCGAGCAAAGCTTGCAGAGACGCTCCGTGCGGTTGCTGATGGAGGTGCAGACGTCTTCTACCAGGGCGAGATCGCCAGGAATCTGACGAAGGACGTACGAGACGCAGGTATTCACGTGGATGTTTCTAAGTTAACTCTAAACAAAACGTTTAGACACAGGTAGATGACACACTGTGTGCTACCCTGGTTCTAGGTTCCGGACAAATTCTCCTGGGCTCCTGGACCAAAATTGTATATTTTTGGTCCGAAAATAGCCAAAAAGCCCTATTTTACACAATTTTTAAGTGGTGAATGTCAAAAGTGTGAACAGCATTCTTTGGACATGTGTCCAAAGTATCCCCATACCAAATTTCAGGTCATTTAGTTTTAGTACCAGGGCTCCAGATCCCAAAATGTTTTTTTTTTGCCTAAAAATGACCCAAAAAAAAAACAATTAAAACAATTTTAAAGGCCTGTTTAAAAACGAAATGAAAAAAAAGTCGGGGGTTATTTGCCCACTCTACCACCATGCCAAATTTCAGGTCATTCGGCTGAAAAATGGCTGAGTTGAATCCCTTTAAAGAAATGGCAGGAGGAGAAGAAGAAGAAGAAGGAGAAACATGAGGGAAAACAATACATTTCTCCCATACTATAATATGGGTGAAATGTAATAACCTTCTTGATTTTGATTTATTGGGATTGCAAACAAATACAATACTCGTGGGCCACAGGCAGCGGGGGCTGGTGTTGTGGCCCACACATGTACACAAAACAATCATAAGCACACAAACAAGACACACATTTAAACCTAATATAAGTACATAAAAATAAGTATAAGGGTACTAGAAACAGCATAGATTAGAATACTAGTGTATCAGTCCATTTAGTACTAGATACAGTTCATGCGGTTTCTAGCCGCCAGAATGTTCTCATGTCTGGGGCCACGTCTCCGGGTCAACTGGTGCTTCTGCTGTGTGAGCAGGTGGGCCTGAAACATGTTCTTAAATATACTAATGCTGCTACTAATTCTTGGAGAAGGTAACAGCGCTTTCCACCCAACTTCTACTGTAGGCGGTATCATCACAGAGCAGGACTTCCGGGACTACCAGGTGGAAGTGACGTCACCTCTCAACATCTCCCTGGCGGGAGGTCTGACCGTCTTGTCGCCTCCTCCTCCAGCAAGCGGGGCCGTCTTAAGTCTCATCCTAAACATCTTGGACGGTATTATGGTTTCTTAAAGATTGTTTTGATGTTTGACTTGATTTGATTTATTGAAATTGCAACAGTGCAATACACGCGGAACATAGGCAGCTGTTGCTGGTGTTGTGTCCCGCACATAGAAACGAATACTAGACAGATAATATTCATTTTCACTTTGAGTCTAGAGGGGAAAGTCGTGTAAAGTGCTTTCCC